TGACTTGTGATTTGGGGGAACCTTCTGTTTGTCGACGTCACAACTTGCGACAACCGCACGGTGGCATGCGTACTACAATTAACATTTCCCGTGAGCATCGCTTGCGGTCGTGATCAATGCGATGATGGCTTCGCCGTCTGATTCTGAGCCACTAATTGCCGTAGTTTAATCATTCGTATGGAATGTTGGCTTGATACTTACGCGAGAATAAAGTTCACTGTCATCAGAATTGTTGCTGGACCACTCCCTCCCTTCCTGCGTGACTGATTCTCCTGCTCAGACAAAGTCTGAGTACGAAGTAGGGGACCGGAGCCACCCAGTAACAATTACGATGACGGCGAACCTAATTCCGCGTAATTATCACGCCAACACGTCAACACGAGTGACAAAACTGCGGGAACTAATGAAAAGCAATTGGACTGCAAAGCCATCATCGCATTGATCACGCTCCAAGCGATGATCACGCGAACTGTTAATTGTAGTACGCATGCGATCGTGTGGTCGCTACGATCTATAAATACTGCATACTTTGTGTATTAATCACCCTATTCTGTGGTTAAATTTGGCGAAGGTTTCAAGACAGAATCCAAAACGTCAGGCCCGTAAACTTCTAGGTCCAGCGATCGCATCTTCTAATTGGTAACTGCTTCGTTTCTACTAGGAAATATTTTTTAAACCGGTTCTGAAGAGACTACGACCTTATTGTATCACAAAGCTGCGTTCGTTTGTGGCTCTAAAGGCTTTCACAAATTTATCTATAGCTACAGAACCACTTAAATTCACGGAATTTTGTGTCATTCAGTTTATGAGCCGTAAAACTCTCTTATTTCACTGGTGCAGACTGTTGTTTTAAAAACAGGATAACATCTTTTCTCAGATTAGCATATCCGTAACGGTAACGATAACTGTCAACCGATTTTTCTGGAGATCGGACGCGGGACACGCATTTGCATGGGAGAAAACCCAACTAGGAAGGGCCGCAAATTCCTCGAGGCAATGCACTCAGACGAAGTATGCTTCAACAGACATATCGATTTGGACGTGAACTACAAAATCCTCAAGATCAGATGGAAGCCAAAACAGCCACAACCGACAGCATAATTAAGTGCGGGTGACAACTATTCCCCCCTGATCGCATAATTACATGCGGATGACAGCCAATTTCCCCACTGACCGCATAATTATATGGGGTGACTATTATCTTCCTACACGCTAACCCACCGTAGAATCCTGTGTTAGTCATCGTTTTGAGTTAACTGTTTTTTGCGACATTCTCATTTGTCTGACGACAAGCTGGGGAACCAGACTAGAAAATTCACACAATAAGCAGTATTCTTTCCTAAAGGTCTTCATCATTAACTATATGTATCGGTTGGGAGACTGATATTGCAATACCAACTAATAAGTTTACCAATGAGTTCCAGCAAACAGTTCAGAAGAAGGTGATGCAACCACTGAAACAAGATTTTTATTGTCCTAACATTTCGGATTCGGTGCGGAATCCTTCATCATAGGTAATAGCATCATAGTCATGATTAACTATTCCCGACGGAATCCGAAAAGTCAGGACAATAAAACGCTTGTTCCAGTTGTCACATCTCCCCTCTTCTTCTGAACTAAGAAGTTTAGAACTACAATATCAAATCTAAATCCCCATAAGTAATATAAACACGACAAGTGAGCGATATTTCGAAGTAAAACAGAAGCTCCCCTTTCAAGTTGCTGTTACGAACGACCTATCTGGAACCCAAAATACGCCCCCCCAGAATTTTACCATGCCTTAATGATTTAAGGTAGTGGAAGGCGGCTTGAAACTTTTTGCGGTGGCACTCATGCAGACCGCTCTAAGCGGTAATAAGTAAACGTGCAACTTGCTAAGAGCCTCGTGAAAGTGTCGGGCAAGAACAGAAAAATCTGTTTTATTCCAAGATAACTATAACATGCATCCTGGTTGCAAAACTGGGAGATGCAGAGCAGTAGAAGGGAAACAAATGGATATATTACAAACACTTTCCGTCTTGACTTAGAGCAGGGCCATCAAAACCCGATTTACCTAAGAGGGTGTACTTACTGTGAAAAGAAAACATTTTGGTAAATTTATTCCTTTAGAGGAGGCCCTTTAAAAGGCAATTTAGAAATAAACGAAGTAGAATTACTTGCCAATGCATTCCCCATCCCTTGAGAATGTGTAACCAGGCTTGCAAACACATTCAAAGCTGCCCGGGGTGTTTCGACAAATCTGTGTTGCATTGGGACATGCGGCGACGTACATATTATTTTGGTAGATGCCCTCGGTGCATTCATCAACATCTTGGGGGGAGGGGGGAGAGAAAAGGGTGCCAGCAAAGTGCGTAAGCAGACTCATGCCGAAAATATTTTAGCAAAAATGCAACAACATGCCAGCAAAACTCTAGGATACATTTGCATGCTGAGAAAACTTTGTGAGTTTCATAGTATGGTCAGACTGTCATTATAAACGTTCAACTTAATGGTATTGAAACTAACAAATCGGTATTGGCAAAGGAAATTTCAGTAAAAAATTACTTTTATTGTGGATTAAACTTATACATGTTAGGTTTCCTTCCCATTTCAAAGTTGTCACCACGCATTACCTTCTGGATAAACTTTTGTGGCGAATAATTGAGAGGTCGTCTGAACACAATCAATAATATAAATAAACACCCACAGTCTC